TAGTGTGTCTTCAGCATAGCTTTCAGCACAGCTTCAGCACAGCCAAATCTCCTCGTGCAGGCTGCCCTGGAAGAAAGCTGTGCTGAAGTCAAGAGAGTGAAGCTCGTAGTCACGCTGAGCGGCAACGTGCATTAGCACCCGAAGAGTGGTCATCTTCGGGGTGGGGGAGAAGGTCTGGAAGAAGTCTACTCCCTCTCGCTGACTGAAGCCTCGAGCAACGTAACGAGCCTTGAAGACAGGCGGAGAACACGGCAGCCGCTTCACCCTGAAAATCCACATGCCACTGACGATGTTCGCCCCAGGAGGGGGAACCTCGTCGACGTAAGTGCCAGTGGACTTACAGGATGCCATCTCTGCGTCCATGGCTGTCTGCCACTGAGAGGAGTACTCACACACTGGGTCCCACCACACTGAGTCAGGTCAGGTCAGGTCAGGTCAGGTAGCTGCTGTGTCGTGCGACTGCCGGTCACTCGCCCACCCGTCAGTCCTTTGGCACCACCGTCTAGGTCACCCGTCGTTCCCACGTCTTAGTAGGATGGTACGTCACTGTCTGGTCTCAGGTCTCCCAGCGTCGCTTGCCCCGCTTCCTCGCTCGCCTGCGCCGCCGTGCAATCCTTGCGTCGAGGGTCGGCAGCGCGCCGCCCCTCACTCCTCCTCGTTCCCCCCCACCACGGCTCCCTTCTAGACCCTGCACTTGGACGTTTGGGGCCCCTCCCCTGTCCTTGGCCCACATCAAGAACGCTACTTCCTGATAGTGGTGGACGACTATTCCCGCTACACCACGATTTTCCCCTTGCGGCGGAACGCCGACGTGCCTACCGTCCTTGAGCCGTGGCTCCTAGCGTGGGGTGGCGCCGAGGGCCTGTGTGGGCTTCGCCTACACTCGGACCGTGGTGGTGAGTTCTCTTCCACTCGCCTAGAGACGTTCTGTCAGGGTCGGGGAGTCATTCAGTCGTACACGCTACCAGCCTCGCCGCAGCAGAACGGGGCAGCCGGGCGTCGCATCGGCCTGGTAATGGAGGTTGCCCGGACCTCCATGTGCCATGCCGGTGCCCCTCAGTTCTTGTGGCCTCAGGCAGTCCGCTACGCCGCGCACCAGCTGAACCTGTGGCCCAGTGACGCACGGCCACGGGTGACGCCGGTCTCTCTCTGGTCAGGTTTACAAGGCGTAGCAGCTGACTTCCGCGTCTGGGGTTGTCTGGCCCACGTTCGCGCCCCTGGCGCGAACAAGTTGTCTCCGCGCACTCGTGCCTGCGTCTTTCTTAGCTTCCCTTTAGACGCCTCCGGCTGGGTGTTCTACGACCCGGTCACCTGCAGGTTCTTCGCTTCTCAGGACGTCACGTTCGACAAGTCTGTCTGTTACTACAGGAGTCGCCCCCACCGAGGTACTGAGGTCTTTTCCCCCCCGCTGTTCCTCACCCTTGAGCCCCCCCCAGTCGCCCTGGTAGCCCCCTCCACTTCGCGTCCTGCCCCGTCAGGTGTGTCGCACGTCACTCCGCAGTCGTCCCCCCCGCAGCGTCCAATCCGTGTCGTGTCTGGGGGTGCGGGAGGTGCAGTTGCGGAGGGTGCGGGTGCTGGGGCTGCAGGAGCTCGTGGTGTCGGTTCAGGGGGTGCAGTGGGTGTGGGCGTGGAGGTCACTCCCGCGGAGGACACGGCAGCCTCGAGTCGGCGGCCTCGCCCCTCGTCACCCCCCGGCTTCCCGGTCGTCCCGCAGTTCCCTCCTCGTTCTCCTCTGCGGCCGGTTGCTGCGGAGCTTGGGGGTGCTACTACGGGAGGTACTGGAGGCCCCGGGGGTGTCGCTAGTGGAGGTGCTGGTTCTGGTAGTGTTGGAGCTGGAGGCACTGGCACTGTGGCGCCTACACCTCGCACTGTACGTTTCCTGACCCGTGAGCAGCGTCTCCTCCGGTTGGAGAGGGAGGAGTGTGAGCGGTTTGAGAGGGCACAGCAGCAACAGCAGCAGCAGCAGGAGCAGCAGCAGCACCAGCACCAGCAGCGGCAGCAGGAGCAGCAGCAGCAGCAGCAGCAGCAGCAGCAGCTACAGCAGTAGGAGAGGGTAGAGGAGGAGTCACGGCCACACCAGGAGAGGGTAGAGCAAGAGTCCAGCCCGCAGCAGCAGGCGTAGTTACAGACCCAGCAGGAGAGAGTACAGGAGGAGTCACGGCCGCACCAGGAGAGGGTAGAGCAGGAGCCCCACCCGCAGCAGCAGGTGCAGTTACAGGCCCCGCGGGAGAGAGTACGGGAGGAGTGACGACCTCAGCAGGAGAGGGTAGCGCAGGAGTCCCGCTCACAGCAGCGGGTGCAGCTGCAGTCGCAGCAGGAGAGGGCAGAGGCGGAGCCACATGAGCAGTAGCAGGGGCCGGTGCCGTCGCAGCAGACGCCAGAGGAGGCGGAGCAGCACCGACTGCGACTACACGACCTCCCCGACCCAGCACCTACACGCTTTGTTCGTGGTCCCCTACCGTCCCCCCATGTTCCCCCTGTTGAGTCCCTTTCCTCGTCCCAGTGGACTCGTCGTTCTCCCCTCAGTCGTGCAGTGTCCCCAGAGCGTCGTTGGTCCCGTTACCGTGCAGACGGTCCGTTCCACCTTGTTCTTCGCTCTCGTGTTCCACCTCCTCCTCTCCTTCCACAGCCCCTTGAGTCGTTCCTCACTGTGCTTCACAACCTGTTGTCCGACTACCTCCGTGCCTCCCGTCCTGTCGTCTCCCGTGTTTTGTCCGCGTTGGTCACTCACCCAACTGCACCTCTGTCGTCTGTTTCGGCACTTGTTACCACTGTCGCTGGCTTTGCCTCTTCCCACCGCCTTGACTACGCCGCTCACTTGGTGAGTGGCCCTGCTTGTTCTCCGTTCTCTGGGGGTGCTCCTGTTTTTCCCCTAGAGGTCCTCGAGGACAGGCAGTTCGAGCTTGGATTTCTTGCGGCCGCTGTTCCTCATCTCTGCGCCATGTTGCTTGCTCCTGAGGGGGATCCAGACGCTCTTGACATCCCGATCCCTCGCACTCACGCCGAGGCGGTCTCAGGACCCTGGGCTTCGTACTGGATAGCATCTGAGGAGGCAAAGATGGCATCTTATAGGTCCACAGGCACTTACGTCGACGCAGTCCCACCACCTGGGACGAACGTCGTCAGTGGCCGATGGCTCTACAAGGTGAAGCGGCCGCCTGAATCACCACCTGTGTTCAAGGCGCGCGATGTGGCGAGAGGCTTCAGTTAGCGAGAGGGGGTGGACTTCTTCCAGACCTTTGCTCCCACCCGGAAGATGAGTACTCTTCGGGTGTTGCTGCATATTGCAGCCCAGCGCGACTACGAGTTGCACTCCTTGGACTTCTCCACCGCGTTCCTTCAGGGGAGCCTGCACGAGCAGATCTGGCTGCGTCGCCCGCCTGGCTTCACTGGCTCTTTCCCACTTCGGACCCAGTGGCAGCTGCGTCGACCAGTCTACGGCTTGCGTCAGGCTCCACGTGAGTGGCACGACACACTTCGCTCAACCCTTGCAGCGCTTGACTTCTTTCCATCGTCTGCTGACCCGTCACTGTTCGCTCCCCGTGGCTTGACCCCGTTCTTTGTCCTGGTCTACGTCGACGACCTGGTGTTTGCCACTCGCGACCGACGCGCGCTGGCTTCCGTGAAGGAGGAACTGCAGAGGAGACACACTTGTACTGACCGTGGTGAGCTGCAGCACTACCTTGGCCTGCAAATCACCAGGGACAGGGCAGCTCGTACCATTACGCTGACTCAGTCGCATATGGTCGAGCAGATCCTCACGCGGTTTCCCTTTCCGTTCTCCAAGGTACAGCTCACCCCTCTTGGTGTGGACCATGGGCTCACGGCTCCACCTTCGGACGAGTCATTTGAGTCCAGTGGTCCATATCATGAGCTGGTGGGTTGTCTCATGTACCTGATGACCTGTACTCGCCCAGACCTAGCTTACCCTCTTAGCGTACTTGCGCGCTTTGTTGCGCCTGGGAGACACCGACCGTCCCACTGGTACGCTGCTAAGAGGGTGGCGAAGTATGTGGCGAGTACATCAGGCATGGGACTTGTCCTTGGAGGGAAGCAGCCAGTTACACTTACAGGATACTCGGACTTGTCGTGGGCCGACGACGCGAAGAAGCGTCGGTCTACACAGGGGTACTCCTTTAGCCTCGGGGCAGGTGCTGTTTCGTGGCGGTCGACTCGGGCGTCGTCCGTCGCCGGTTTCAGCTGTGAGGCAGAGGTGTATGCTGCAGCCATGGCCGCTCAGGAGCTTCGCTGGCTGTCTTTCCTTCTCACCGACCTTGGTGAGTGGCCTCGCTCTCCCCCAGTCTTGTTCGCCGACAACAGGTTTGCCGTCCTGTTGTGTGAGGAGCCCGACTGGTTGGGAAGGCAAAGCACATCCAGCTTCGTTATTTCCTTCTGCGTGAGTTGCAGCAGCGTGGTCAGGCACTCGTACAATGTGTGGTCTCTAAGGCCAACACTGCAGATATCTTCACCAAGGCGTTGCCGCCTTGTGATCACCAGCGTTTCTGCACCCAGCTTGGCCTTGTGCGGGCCCGTCCTCACTTGCTTACGTAGATGCTTTGTCCTTATTGTCTTGTATTCTTGCATCTCAATATATTTGCTATATACCTGCATGTGAACTGGCCTTGTGGCTCTTTTCTTGCTCTCAGACTGTGTGGTGACTTTGAGCTCCACCCTGAGATTTGTCTTGTTCTTGTGGACTGGTCTTGTGACCCTTGCTTGTTCTTGTTCTTGCTGACTGTTCATGTGACCCTTGTTTGCTCTCAGACTGTGTGTGTCCTTGAGACCCACCCTGAGAAATGTGTTGTCTTTCCACGGGGTTACCGTCACTTAGACTATGGGGGTGTGTCAACATATATTTTATATGTGTTGTTTAGGTTAGTCTAGGTGTTACTTTTCTACTTCCTTGCATGATTAGGGTTTGCTATATCTAGGGTTGTACTTCTCATTTTCTATCAATTTCATTCTTATCGTAACAGCATCCGGGTCTCCCTCAAGTGCGATCAGCATGGACACGAGATGAGGTACAGCGCAGCAAAGCACTCAAACTCCTCCTGCCTGTCCTCAAGGACGTCCGTGCCAAGAGCACACTCACCCCCGACGGACGGAGGACAGACAGACTCAGACTCAGACTCAGCAACAAGACTCGCAGCGTAGTCTAGACGACAGTGAGCAGCAAAGTCGACAAGCTCAGCAACTAAGGCAGACGCAGCAGCTGACTCAAAGGAAGGGTAAGTGACAGCAGTGGCCTGGAGACGCGTGACAGTAGGACTAGCAGCACGAAGAGAGTCAGACTCCGGTTCAGCAAGGGCAAGAAGAGAGGACGCAGGAGGAGAAGGCAGCGGGACACGCTGTGGAGCAGTGGAAGGACGAAGCGCCATCTGGTGAGTGCCTAAGACAGTAGGAGGACGCTGACGCGGGACACGATGACCAGTGCGAGCAGCACGAACAAGTGACGCAGTCCGAGACTCAGGCGACACAGGACGAGACTTAGGCTCACGACGCTCCGTAAGACTGCCTGTTGGACCAGTGTAGGGAGAAAGACCAGGGAGTGGCGAGGCAGGCGGTAGCTGTGACGGCGAATGGACAGGCGGAGGACACTCTAAGGAGGGAGTAGGACAACGAGGAGGCGGCTGACCAAGAACCTGCTGAAGGAGGGGAACGAAGTACGGCTATGGCCGTGAAGTGCCCCTAGAACCAGCAGAGACAGCACCAGAACCTCCAGCAGCAGCTCCAACTCGCTCAGCACCACCCGCAGCTCCAGTACCTCCAGCAGCACCAGCAGCACCTCCAGCAGGACCAGCACTAGCAGCACCTCCAGCAGCACCAGTACCTCCAGCAGCACCAGCCCCAGTACGAGCAGCACCACCAGCAGCTCCAGTAGCTCCAGTACCTCTAGCAGCACCAGCAGCACCTCCAGCAGGAGCAGCTCCAGCAGCTCTAGTAGCACCCCCAGTCCCAGCAGCTCCAGTACCGCCAGCACGAGCACCTCCAGGACCAGTGGCTCCAGCACCTCCAGCGCCAACCCCAGGGTCAGCAGCAACACCAACTCCAGTAAGCTCAGCGCCCTCAGCTCCAGCTCCAGTAGCACCTCCAGCTCCCACAGCACCACAGCGGCGGTGACAGTACCGAGAGTACCACTCACGCAGCTGCTGGGAAGAGAGAACGCCCCCAGGTGCAGCACCCCCAGGCGCAGGACCTCCAGACTCAGCACCCCCAGGGACAACACCCCCAGTCTTCGCACCCCCAGGCTCAGCACCCCTAGTCTCCGCACCCCCAGGCTCAGCACCCCTAGTCGCAGTACCCCCAGACCCAGCACCACCAGGCTCAGCACGCTCAGGCTCAGCACGCTCAGGCTCAGCACGCTCAGTACCTCGCGCAGGACCAGAGTCGACAGCTACCTTGACAGGCTCGACCGGGTCTACCTGGGAAACACCTGAGCGAGCAGGACCCTGGGGAGGCAGGGGGTCTACCGAAGCAGCACCTGGCGTGAGGAAGAGCGGCGGAGGGGGGAGCGGGGCAGTGCGGTAGGGGAAGAGACGGTAAAAGGGGACCGACTCGTCAAACGTGACGTCCTGAGAGGGGAAGACACGGCGCGAGGTGGGGTGGTAAAACTGCCAGCCAGGCGCGTCAGGGACAAAGCCCAAAAAGACACAAGGAACGGCACGGGAGGAGAGCTTGTCCGCGGACGTATCGCGGACAAAGGCACGAGATCCCCAGACACTGAACACAGACGCATCGCCAGCCGCTCCCGTCCAACGCAGTGTCGGCGAGGTCTCCGGAACGGAGACACGGGGCCAGAGGTTGAGCTGATGCGCGGCGTACCGGACCGCAAACGGCCACAGAAAATGGGGGGCAGCCGCATGGATCAAGGAGGTACGAGCGACCTCCATGACCAAGCCAATGCGGCGCTCAGCAACCCCATTCTGCAGAGGAGAGGCGGGAAGCGTGAACGTCTGCTCAATGCCCTCTCCTGACAGAAGGTCGTCAAGAGGCCGGAGGAAAACTCACCACCTCTGTCAGAGTGCAGTCGCAGGACGGGAAGGTCCGTGTGAAAGCGCCTCTCCAGCTGGAGACGAGTAGTGCGGATCCAAAGGATCAAGACAGCAGGGACCTCTCCCTTGGTGCGCATGGGGAAGACCGTGGTGTAACGCGTGTAGTCGTCAACTACCAGCAGGAAGTAGCGCTCTCCGCCCTGTCCACGGACGCGGGCTGGGCCCCACACGTCCATGTGAAGGGTCTGCAGAGGAGCCTCCGTCGGGGGGAACTCAGAGGAGTGAGGAGTGGCACGCTGCCGCCCCTCGACACAGGGAAGGCAAGGAGGGGCAGGGGACGGTGGCAGGGGAGGGAGTGACCTGGGGAGACCAGAGACAAGGAAACGAGAGTGCATGCCACGAAGGCGCTGCATCGAAGGGTGCCCAAGGCGGTGGTGCCAGAGGACCGTCCGGTGCGACAGGGTGCGACACGAGCAGGGGGCGGACAACTGACCTGACGCAGACACAGACGCCGCTACCTGAGGGGACTCAGTGGTTAGTGTGTACAAGTCCGACCCCGGCTGCCGAGTGAAGGTAGCCAGGTGACGACCCGTCTGGGCACACGTGTAGTGTGTCACACGCTCGTAGGCAGGGGTGAACTGGTGAACAGCCGCGTCCTGAAGCGCAGAACCCGCCACCAAGTTTGTAGAGAACGAGGGGAGGTCAAGGCCCGACAGTGTGCCGGACGGGACAGCAGGACAAGGGAGGGCAGTGGTGGAGGTCGCAAGGACCGGACCCCTGGAGGGGTCAGCCAGGGAGACAGCAACCGGCCTAGGGAGCTGCTCGAGGGCAGTGCGGTCGCGAAAGAAACAGCGGGAAGCACCTGAGTCCAGTGTGAAGGTGTGCATTGCCTCAGTAGACGCAGTACCTGAAGGCGCAGACTCACAAGCACCTGAAGCAGCAGACACACCTGCACCTAGAGTGGCAGCCTCACCAGGACCAGGGGCAGCAGACGCACTAGCACCTAGAGCGGCTGCCTCACCGGCACCTGGAGCAGCAGACTGGATACCGGGGTCAGGCGGCACACACAGGTGACAGGCTCCCTCGGCACTAGTAGACAATGCATACATTGCAGTGAGAAGAGCATCATAGTCAAGAGCAAAGATATCTACCCTCTGCCTAAGCAGCTCCACCCAGTCGGGGAGCTCAGCGTCATCGCCAAACTCTGTACGGCAAGCGTCGCTCAGACGAGCGAAGCAGCGAGACTCTGTGTGACCACGCGTCCCGAAAGGCTGACCAGTCCGGACACCCGTGCTAATAACGTACGGGCAGCGAGCACTACTCAGCGACCCTCTACTCTGAGCGTACCACTCACGAAGCTGCTGGGGCGAAAGACTTTCGCGCAGACGACGCTGCTGCTGCACAGGGCCACTGCAAGAAGCTCCCGAACTACCCACTCCAGGACGACTCCCACTACTGCCACGCCGACAACCCCAGCTGGCGTACCACTCACGAAGCTGCTGGGGCGTGAGGGACACACGCGGACGGCCTTGGAGCTGCATCTGGCCACGCTAGGAGAAGTAGTAGAAGCAGGAGCAGCAGGGGCAGGGCAGTGCTCACCAGTGGTGGGATGGGCAGGCGTACGACGGAGGCGACTGCGGGGCCGCTACAGCGGAAGGGCGGGGCCGCGACCGTGGCAGGAAGCTCCGCGGCAGTTGGTGCAGGGCGGGACCGGGCCGCGACGGCGGCTGGTGCAGGGCAGGGACAGGGCCGCGACGATCGCTGCTGCAGGGGCGGCTGCTCCAGGGGCCAGGGGCAGGTCCTGCAGTGGCGGGCTGCTCCAGTGGCCAGGCGCGACGCGGCGAGCAGGGCGACGCGGCGTGCAGGGGCGACGCCGCGGGCAGAGGCAACGCGGCGAGCAGAGCGACGCGGCGGGCAGGGGCGACGCCGCGTCAGCAGCTGGGCGCGGTCTGACGGGGCCGCGCGCTGGTCTGACGGGCCTGCAGAGGCTGCGTGCGGGTGGCGAGGGCCTGCAGGGGCGGCGCGCGGTCGGGCAGAAGCTGCGCGCGGGCGGCGTGGTCCTACAGGGGCAGCGCGCCGACCTGACGGGCCTGCAGGGGCGGCTCTCGGGCCTGACGGGCCTGCAGAGGCGGCTCAGGGGCCTGACGGGCCTGCAGAGGCGGCTCGGGGGCTTGACGGACCTGCACGGGCGGCTCGAGGGCCCTACTAGGTTGCAGGGGCGGCGTACTGGCCTAGGGCAGCAGGAGGCAGCGCGAGTGCTGCAGGACGGCGCGCAGGCAGAACGAAGGGCGGGGCGCGCGAGGGCGCACTAGCAAAAAAAGGGGCGCACGTAGGGTAAGGCGCACGAGGGCGCTTCTAGCGGAATAGTGGGCCCGTAGTAGTAAGCGGTCCTAGGTGGCAACCTAGGCTCGTGATACCATGTCAGAATGAACAAGAGTGATTGCACTAGGAAAGAGTTGGGTACAAGTAGGAAACCCTAAACTTACTGTACCCCATAGTAACTACCCCACTACAGCCTAAACAAACTGTAGTATATATAACATTAGACACATTCGCATGGGCGAGCAGGAGTTAGCGACCGAGTACTGCTTTTAAGCTCCAGTTGGCCGATGTAGAGGTTGTCAGTCGCCTCGTATGTCACGCACATCATCAAGGGTATTCTGACGGGCTATGATATGATGCGCAGCGCATGTGAGTCACTCAACAAGGACACGCTGTCGAGCCAGATCATGAACGACGAGTTCATGCAGGAGTCCGAGAGGTCCACAGAATTGCTTACGCATGCCAAATGTGTCGCCCCATCGAAGCAAGAACGTCACCCAGGGCAGCGCGGGAATTCGGGCGGAGGCTTAGGCGGAGGCAATGGCGGAAAGTCGGGGAACGCAAAGTCGTCGAAGAGTGCCGGCCGCGGGAAGTCGGAGAAGGGAGGTGACCACGGAGGCAGTGGCTCGCGTCGATAAGGACGTCTCGGCCCCATCTGCGCTCCCAATCAAGCCTCTTATACGACTGCCCCACCCGATATGAGTCTGACGACGATCGCGATGCCAGCCGTGGGAAGTCGAGTGGTGGTGGTCGTCGTCAAGACAACCAGCCACGCAAGGAGAAGCAGGCTTCGTCGAAATCCACGTCGACATCACAGGGCGACCGAGCGGTAATGCATCCTCGGCATCGCGTTGTTAACGATGATGATCCGCATGTCGAACTACACCTACTGTGCTGTGTAGTATCTAAATGCTGTCGTCTTCTGCGGGCGGTTGACGTTGACTTCTGCGGGCAGTTGGTGCTGACTTTTGTATGAAGTCCACGTCGACTTCTACGGGCAGTCGGCGTCTACTTTTGCGCGCAATCCGCGTCGACTTATGCGAGCACTCGGCTGCACAATCCGTCTCGCCCAAGAGAGGGTGGGGCCATTTCCCGTCACACAGCCCATTGCCGGTGACGAACGCAAAAGTGTATCTAATTTGCCAGTGAGAGTGTCGTTGACCGTCGACCTCGGTGGTGCGAGCTGCATGCAGCACCCAAGTGCAGCACGTGGGCCCTAGTTCCACCGACGCCAATGATGACGGCTCTGTGAGGTCCTCAAATCACTCCATGCGTCACTCTCCTTTTGCTCCAGCATGGGAAAGGGGATACACGCACGCCCACTACGTACAACTTCGTAGTGGGTGTGTGCTCTAATAGCGTGTCTCACAACAGCAGCTCACGCCGGCAGGGTGCCTTCTCCATGGTCGACGATGATGAGCTAGAGGGCTGCTGACATAACAACGCAAGCAATTCTGTAAGCAATTCGACGCAATCGTCGATCTATGCGACGGTCTATCGCGGATTGGTGTCCACCGTCATAGCACCATGCGGAGAATCACTACACGACGAGTAATGATATTTGTTGGAGGTCATGGATTTTACGAGAATGATCAAATTGTTGCTTACGTTCTCACTTCTAGCTGTCCAAGCGTATGAATCTGGCAAGAGTTTCAGTGGGGATAGGAGAGCAACAATATTAAAATGGCTTGGCATATCTGTTTAATCAAGAACACACTGCTAGACTAGAAACAACCTAGCAAGTCGAAATGACGAGGACTCGTCAACGTCTAGAGTCCTATATGCTCGACGCAGCCGTGACTGCACGTGCTTATGAGTGAGTACGCGGGTACAATTGTAAGCACTAAGGATTAAGAATTCATTGCAATAAGAAACTGCATTCATGCTTCGTTTTCGTTTGCACTGTACCATCTAGAACATAATGTAAAAATGTATGATAAATTATACATTGATGTGTTTCTAACAAGTGCAGAGCATTAGCGAAACTGGAGAGCATTCGCAGCCACTCTTCGAGTGTCTGTGGGTGGATGCTTGCGTGTTCGTGCACTGTGCTATTGCTAAAGTTCTCTCATATCTCGCAATCATCGTGCATGCATATTGTTGGCTGAGGTCATTGTCTGGAAGCTTCTCTGTGAGAAAATGAGGATATGAATTGACTAGGAAACATGTGGGTACAAGTAAGAAACCTAGAAGTGTTGTACCCTATAGTATCTATCCCACTACAACCTAGATAGACTATAGCATATATGTTTGACACACCCCCATAGGCAAAGTGGGGGAGAACAAGAGGTCACAAGACCAGTCAAGCAAAGCACAGCAAGCTGAGGGTGGATCACAACGTCACCACACATTCCGAGCACAAGTTCAACGCCACAAGGCCAGTTCACATGCAAGATTATATATAAAGGTAAACAAGCAAGTGCAGGTATAGATAGATCACAGTACAAGCAAGGTCAAGAAGTGACCAAGTGAGGCCAAGTAGGCACAAGACCTAGCATCGCACAAAAGCGCTGATGAACACAAGGCTAAAGTGCCTTGGTCAAGATATCAGCAGTGTTGGCCTGAGAGGCCACGTAAGCAAGGCGCAGCTGACCACGCTGCTGCAGCTCACGAGCAAGGAAGTAGCGAAGAGCAATGTGCTTCGTTCTGTGCTCCAGTCTGTGCTCCTGACACAAGGCCAGCATGGACCACTGAACTCCGCCCTCCAACCACGAGCCCCATGCCCGACGTACTGCACAAGTAGCACAACACCCTCTTTGCAGCAGCCATGTGCTCTGGTCGGTGTCTCCTAGGAGCAACATAGCGTGCTAAGATGCTAAGAGAGTATGCTAGGTCAGGACGAGTGCAGGTCATCAGGTACATGAGGCAGCCAACAAGCTCTGGGTACGGGCCACTCGGCTCTACGGACTCATCCGAAGGCAGAGCTGAGAGCGAGTGGCGAGTAGACAGAGGAGTGGCCTGAGGCGAGGAGTACGTGAAGTCGAAGCGCTAAAGGACCTGCTGCACCATGTGTGACTGAGTCAGGGTGATGGTGCGGCGTGCTCTGTCCTGGGTGATCTGCAAGCCAAGATAGCTGCGCAGTTCACCCAGATCTGTGCACGTGTGTCTCTTCTGCAGCTCGGACTTAGCGTGGGCGAGTCCAGCAGTGTCAGCAGTAGCAAAGACCAAGTCGTCGACGTACACGAGGATGTAGAACGGCGCCAGCGAGGTGTCGGTGCATAGAAACAGTGACGGGTCAGCAGTAGAAGGAGCAAACCCAAGAGCCGCTAGCGTAGTCCTCAGTGTGTCGTGCCACTCGCGGGGAGCTTGGCGGAGACCGTAGACTGGCCGCCGGAGGCTCCACTGGGTACCAGGACGAAACGACCCAATGAAGCCAGGAGGGCGGCGCAGCCAGATCTCCTCGTGCAGGCTGCCCTGTAGGAAAGCAGTGCTGAAGTCAAGAGAGTGAAGCTCGTAGTCGCGCTGAGCGGCTATGTGCAGTAGTACCCGAAGAGTGGTCATCTTCGGGGTGGGGGAGAAGGTCTGAAAGTAGTCAACTCCCTACCGCTAACTGAAGCCTCGAGCCACATATTGTGCCGTGAAGACAGGCGGAGAACCCGGCGGCCGCTTCACCCTGAAAATCCACATGCCACTGACGATGTTCGCCCTAGGTGGGGGAACCTCGTCAACGTAGGTGCTTGTGGACTTCCAGGAAGCCATCTTTGCGTCCATGGCTGACTGCCACTGAGAGGAGTGGGGACCCTCTATCGCCTCTGCGTAAGAGAGCGGAGTCGGGATGTCTGGTGCATCCGGGTCTCCCTTAGGGGCAATCAGCTTGGACACGAGATGCGGTAAAGCAGCAGCAAAACACTGGAACTCCTCTTCCCTGTCCTCAAGGACGTCCGTGCAAAGAGCTCAGCATCTCTAGGAGCACCAGAGTCAGCAGCTACCTTGACAGGCTCAACTGCGTCTACCTGGGACACACCTAAGGGGGCAGGACCCTGAGGGGGGAGGGGGTCTACCGGAGGGGACCTGGCGCGAGGAAGAGCGGCGGGGGGGGGAGGGGGGCAGCGCGGTAGGGGAAGAGACGGTAAAACGGAACCGACTCGTCAAACGTGACGTCCTGGGAGGACAAAACACGGCGCGAGGTGGGGTGGTAAAACTGCCAACCAGGCACGTCAGGGGGGAAACCAAGGAAGACGCATGGAACAGCACGAGAGGACAGCTTGTTCGCAGACAAGTCTCGGACGAAAGCTCGAGATCCCCAGACACGGAACGCAGACGCATCGCCAACCTTCCCCGTCCACCGAACGGAGGGGGAGGTCTCCGGCAAGGAGACCTGGGGCTGAAGGTTGATCTGCTGCACCGCGTACTGAACCGCGAACGGCCACAGGAGCAGCCGCATGCATCATGGACGTACGAGCGACGTCCATGACCATGCCAATGCGGCGCTGAGCAATCCCATTTTTTTGTGGAGAGGCAAGAAACGTGAACGTCTGGCGGATGCCCCTCGCGCGACAGAAGGCTCGCAGAAGGTTGGAGGAAAACTCTCCACCTCTGTCGGAGTGCAGACGCAGAACAGGAAAGTCCGAGCCGAAACTCTCTCTGAGCTGGAGACGAGCAGCGCGGATCCACTCGATCAACACCCCAGTGACCTCACCCTTGGTGCGCAAGGGGAAGACTGCGGTGTAACGCGAGTAGTCGTCAACCACCAAGAGGAAATAACGCTCCTGACCCTGTCCACGGACGCGGTCTGGGCCCCACACGTCCATGTGAAGAGTCTGCAGCGGAGCCTCTGTCGGCGGAAACTTGGAGGAGTGAGGAGCGGCGCGCTGCCGCCCCTCGACGCAGGGAACGCAGGTAGGGGCAGGCCCCGGAGGAAGGGGAGGGAGGTACTTGGGGAGACCAAAGACAAGGTAACGGGAGGCCATGCCTCGGTGACGAGGCAGGGAAGGGTAACCAAGGCGGTGGTGCCAGAGGAGGGTCTGGTGGGACAGGAGGCGACACGAGCAGGGGGCAGACTCAGGATCAGACCTGGACGCTGCAGCAAACACCCGGCCAGGCGCAGCTACTTGACCAGACGCTGTAGCCGGAGGAGACTCGGTAGTCACTGTGTACAGGCTCGACCCCAGCTGACGGGTTAACGTGGCCATTTATCGGCCCGTCCGAGCACACGTGCAGTGGGTCACCCGCTGACTCGCAGGAGTGAACTGACAGGTCAGCACAACTCACCAAGTTCGTAGAGAATGAGGGGACGTAAAGACCTGACAGGGAGCTAGACGGGGCCGCTGGACACGGTAGTACAGTGGAGAAGTGGGCAAGGACAGGACCCCCAGAGGGGTCTGCTAGGGAGACCGCAACTGGCCGACTGAGCGGCGTGAGGGTGGTGCGGTCTCGAAAGAAGGAGCGAGAAGCACCCGAGTCAAGGGTGAAGGTGTGCAAAGCCTGACCAGACGTGGTACCTGAGAGAGCAGACTCACTAGCACCTGGAGCAGTAAACTCTCTAGTACCTGGAGCAGCGGACTCACGAGCACCTAGAGCAGCAGCTGCAATGCTCGGGTCAGGCGGAACACACAGGTAACAGTCACCCTCATCACTAGTAGACACAACATACATGGCAGCAACAATAGCATCATAGTCAAGATCAAAGATAGCTACACCCGACTTAAGCGAATCACCCCAGCGAGGGATCTCAGAGGCGTCAAGGAACTGGAGACGCCAGGGGTCAGTCAGGCGGCCAAAGCAGCGCTGGGTGGTGTGCGGCCCGTAGCACGGCTCCCCATTATAGTCACTAGTACGCATGACGTAGGCACAGGGTCCAGCACCCCCAGACCGCTGACGCGCAGCGTACCACTCACGAAGCTGCTGGGGTGGCGCGGTCTCACGAGAGCGCTGCTGCTGCTGACGGTGGCCACCACCGAAGCCTCCCCGCGGCACAGAGCCAACCCGACCAGCGCCACCGCCACCGCCGCCACCGCCGCCTCCTCCACTCCCACCGCCACCGCCGCCGCCGCCTCCGCCGCCGCCGCCACCAGAGCCCCCACCCCCGCCACCACTCCCACCGCCACCCCCACCCCCTCCGCCGCCCCCACCGCCACCACCACCACCCCCGCCCGCTCCCCCAGCACCCTTGTCCCCCTTGCCCTTGCCGTTGCAGCGCCTCCCGCTAGGGGTAGACGCAACGCCGACCGACTCGGTGCCAACGAGGTCGACAGCAGCAGCAGAGGCAACAGAGGGCAAGAGGGGGACGGGGGAACACCCCTCAAAGAAAGGGGCACGAGGGTCACTTCGAGAGGCTCCTACAGCGACTATACTCTTCTCAGTTGCAAAGAGGCGCTCCTCGAGGAGGTCAACGGTGAGTGTGGTGGGGTAAACAGAGAGGAAGTGGTCCCTGACCAAGCGAAGGGAGTCAGGGAGTCGGGTGATTAGGTAGTAAAGGGTGATGTACATAGGGGCGGGGTTCTTGGCGCATAACTCAGCAAGAAGCGCAGCGCGGTAGCGGGTGTCACTAGTGCGGAGGTGCGTAATGAGGTCAGCGACTGTGGCAAAGGCGGCGAGGTCAGGGAACAGGTACGCAGCATGAGGTGACTAAGGGCAGCAGTGGCAGGGGAGGAGTAGCGTGCAACTACCGCGTCGTACAAGGTCTTAGCAGTCTTGTACTGACTAATGTGCGCGCGCTCAGTGGACGGCAGGTGACTACGCACAGCAAGACGGGCAGCAGCATCGCGCGTGGTCCACTGTGAGCGAACAGTACTGTCAGCATCGGCAGCAGGGGCAGTAGAGGCGCCAGACGTGAGATCGAAAAGTGAGAGGTCGTGTTTGCTATCGCACTGCAGGAAAAGCTGCAGATCATCTATCCACACCTCAAAGTCTACCGCTCGACTCTCAGCATCAAAGGTAAGAACGTTGGGACTAGCCATGACAGCAGCAGTAGCAAGCTAGCAGCATCAGCAGCAGAAGCAGGTTAGCAGTAGCAGCAGCAGGAGGGGCGTGGCTCGGCGGTGCGCTTACCAGGGGCGGGTGGGTTGAAGCCCGCAAGTGGTGGGGCAGGGCCGAGGCGCGCCGGCAGGTTCAGGGCCGCAACAGGGTGGCAGAGGAGGGCCGCGACTCGGCTGCAGGGTAGGGCCGGGACGGCGGCGGCGGCTGTCACGGCAGTGGCAGCGGCGGTTGTCTCAGCAGCAGCGGCGGCAGCTGTCACGGCAGGAGCGGCGGCGGCTGTCACGGCAGCAGCGGCGGCGGCTGTCACGGCAGCAGCGGCGGCGGCGAACGGCCGTGGCGGAAGCGGCAGCGGTAGCATGCGCGACGGCAGGTGCTGCTGGGGCGGTGACGACGGGGCGGCAGGGCCGCGAAGAGCCAGGGAGGGGCCGTGGAGGGGCCGTGAAGGGGCCGCGAAGGGCCACGAAGGGCCGCGGATGGGCCGCGAAGGGCCGCGGAGGGGCCGCGAAGGGGGGCCGCGAAGGGCCGCGAAGGGCCGCGGAGAGGCCGCGAAGGGCCGAGAGGGGGGCCGCGAGGGGCCGCGAAGGGGCCACGAAGGGCCGTGAGGGGGCCGCGAAGGGTCGTAAGAGGGGCCGCTAAGGGGTCGCGACAGGGGCCGTGAAGGGGCCGCGAAGGGGGGGCCGCTAAGAGGGCAGCGAAGGGGCCACTAAGGGGCCGTTAAGGGGCAGGCCTCTGAGGGGCCGCGAAATTTTAGGGCAGGACGCGAAGCGCGCTTCGGGCAGGCTAAAAAAAAAAAATTCAAAGGTGGGCCCTTAGGAAGAAACGGTCCCACTAGGGAACCCGCTCTATACCATGTGAGAAAATGGGGAAATGAATTGGCTAGGAAACATGTGGGTACAAGTGAGAAACCTAGAAGTGTTGTACCCTATAGTATCTACCCCACTACAGCCTAGATAGACTATAGCATATATGTTTGACATTCTCATCGCGCTAATCTCTGCCGACATGGCATCCCATCTAACTGCTTCTCAACTTCTGTGTACAGATACATTTCTGGTCGCCAGTCACCACGAACATAGGGGTGTCACACCTGCTCCTGAAGCGTCACACACATCATCTCATTGCACGTGTTCTCTGTCACAGACGTTGCCTTGAGCTTAGTGATAAATCGACCTCCTAATATGAGCTCATCCTCTGAGACGTCTTGTTCTGCGTCCGACCCTGGTCCGCCTCTACGCCTTGGTCGCAGCTCTACATGCTGCATCACTTCCTACGATTGTTACGCCAGTAAGAAACAACTCTCAAAAGATCTTAGGTCATGCTGCACAACTGGTGACTGTTGATGGCAACGACAGTAGCTACGCAGCATGATGCCTTCACCGCGAATTGGTGCAAGATTCTGTCGTTGTGAGAGGCGCGTTTGACATAATTGGACCTCTGATGATGGAGCTAGTACGGCACCACCTACGAGCTCCCTGAAACGTTTGACGTGGCGCGGAACGACAGAGTTTTAACTTATGATGATGGAGCTAGGACGGCGCCACCTAAAAGCTCGCTGAAGCATTTGACGCAGCACGGCAATGCATCTCACATCACAATCCATGCTTAATGAGAGCATGGGTGCGTTGGCGTAATTATAGTGTGTCTGCTGAACCATTCTGCTCGTCGTGAGCCAGACGCCCTAAAGTCTGGAATGCTACCTTTCTCAAAAGATTCTATGTGTGATCAAGTGATTTCACATCCTGGATTATGGCTAGCCATGTGCAACAATAGTCACTGAAGAGCATGAAAGCCAGTATGTATTGATTTGTAAATGAAATGTTTATTCCCGGATTTTGGAGATCATTGTAATTGGAGAAAGCAACATGCCACCTTCATGTGTTCAATAATTCACCAACAGACTCATGCGTTCCTTTCAATTCTAAACTGTATATTAGAGAAAACAAAACAGTGCTGAGTAGTGTACACAACATGCATAGCATATACAATTATTGCAACGCACATGTGTTGTTCTAACAGGCGCGCTTTGATATGCAAAGCGCTTCCCGCATCCAAATCGCATTTCATCCCCACTTGTTTCAAAATTCAAATGCATGATGAGATTGTGCGCTTCGAAGTTTCTGAGCCACAACTATGTTTCCTCTTGTATCTCCTATTCCAGTATTCAGTGTGTATATCACACCGAAGACTTCTCACTACCTTGTACCAATCTCACTGCTTTGAGATACCAAGGGATTCGTTGACTGTTGGAATGATATCGCCATGAGTGCTAGAACAAACGCGCGCTACGGTATGACATTGCAGGCTGTCTTCTACCTCATACTTGTATGTTTTTCAGTCGTCCGTGGCAGGCTTGTTAGTAGTACCATCGTTTCTGTTAATATGGGAAAATCATGCTAAGCACGACTCCCAGGTTACCTGACTTAATCAGATGATGGCCAGTCACTCATGCTTATTCTGTGGGGAACCATTTGATGACGAGAAGTGCCAGACAAATCACGAGCGCCTCAAAGGGAGATGGGGTAATAAACGTGCACGTCGCGACGCCCTGCCACGTGCCAGGCGTGAAACTCCGGTGCCACCTCCAACTGAACTCGTGTTTCCTGCGGAGTCGTTGCACCCTCTGCCGACGGATCCTCCAACCGACACCCGCCACAACCCTCGTGACCCCGGCTTGGTCGACGGAGAATCCTTCCACGAGGCAAATCCATGCTTTGTTCAATATGACGAGCCCAAGGAACCCTTCGATACCTGCCTGGAAGTATTCTGTTTTCTGTGTCTATGCAACAAAGGGATGGGACTAAGTGGTACGAACATTGCCCTGTTCTTCAAACTGATGAAGCATCCGAAATTCAATCTAAGCGATCTGGCATACTGGAATGGGAAGCACACAGTGGACAAGTACGCGTTTGAGAAACTGGGTGTTGAAAAGAAGAAGTACCTCACCAATGAGGTGACCGTTGAAGGATAGCCGACAAAGTACAAGGTCAAGTACATTGACCCCGTCGTGGTACGTGTACCCTCGTGTTATGTACCTCTGCCTATCACTTTCCGCACCTTGCACTGGCCGCACCTATCACCGTCGGCACCTCACTCTGTCCGTTTCTCCCACTGTCCGCGTCTCTCACTATTCGCTTCTCTCTCTATCCGCCTTTCTCTCTGTCCGCTTCTCTCTCGGTCCGTTCCTCTTTCTGTCCGCTCCTCTCTATTTTTGCTTCTTTCTCTGTTCGCTTCTCTCACTGTTCGCTTCTTCATCTGTCCGCTCCTCTCATTTTCCACATCTCTCTCTGTCCGCTTCCCTCTCTGTCTGCTCCTCTCTCGGCCTGCTCCTCTCTCGATCTGCTCCTCTCACGGTCTGCTCGTATCACGGTTTGCTCCTCTCATGGTCTGCTCCTTCCTCAATCTGCTCCTCTCGCGGTCTGCTCCTCTCTCAGTCTGCTCCTCTCACGGTCTGCTCCTCTCACAGTCTGCTCCTGTCACGGTCTGCTCCTATCACGGTCTGCTCCTCTCACAGTCTGCTCCTCTCTCGGTCTGCTCCTCCCTCGGTCTCTCGGCTTGCTCCTCTCTCGGTCTGCTCCTCTCACGGTCTGCTCCTATCACAATCTGTTAATCTCACGGTCTGCTCCTCTCTCGGTTTGCGCCTCTCTCGCTCTGCTCCTCTCACGGTCTGTTCCTCTCACGCTCTGCTAACTTTCTCGGTCTGCTCACTGCGTACGTGTGTCTTCTGCACCGATCAGGCTCTGGCATGTCTATGGGCTGACCCGAAGAACGGTGATAGGTTTATACATCATGCAAGACCCGAGTACGATAAGAGCGCGTCTATGAAGCAGTAGAGACTGGGGCCTTTTGGGAAGAAGCGCAGGTATGCCGACTTGCTTCAGCATCGTCTATTTCTTCGTTGTTCTTTGCTTTGCCCAAGGGCTGCTTGTGAACGGTTGTTCGGCGTGCACCCACACTACGTTACTGGTTTTTGCTGTCTTACGAAAGTTGTCTAAGGTATTAATCTGAAGAGCAGCGCACGTGCTTGCATAATGTGTGCAGGTCGGCCTGTCAGAAGACGGATTGGTGTGTCCATTTATAATCTCGAGTGACGAGTCGCTTCTTAGTGGGAACAAGCGCCTCAAGGCATGGCCTTTGTACTTCATATGCACGAACATCCCCCTATGGCTCCGCTGGAAATATCATGGACGCGTCCGTCTTTCTCTCTTACCAACGCCACATCCGGATATGACACCAGCCCAGAAGGTGGAGCTGTTTCATAAAAGCACGGACATTGTGCTTGAGAGGCTTATTGCTGCCGGCAAATGGTAAGCGATAACCGTAGCTCTACTTGTTCTTCGCTGCAATGCGGCTCCTACCTGCCATTATTTAAAATGACCCTCTGCAGCCCATCATTTCCCACCAAGGTACCCATCCCTTTCCACATGCTTCGCATCCCATCCCCACATCCTGCACCTCTGTTCCCCCCATGTTGCCCATCTCTGCTCGGTATGGTTGCACATCTGTTCCCCCCATGCTGCCCATGCCCTTCCCACATGTTGCCCATGCCCTTCCCACATGCTGCCCATGCCCTACCCACATGCTTTGTGCACACATTTTTTCCAAGAATGTTCACGGCCTCCGTATTCTCTTTGTCCGCTCCTCTGCCATATACCCCATCAGCTCTATGCCTTTGATTGATCCACACGGGCGAGCATGGACCGTGTGGCCCAAGCTGTATTCTTGGATGACCGACTATCTGGAGGGGTCCTGGGTGTCTTGCACGATGCAACATCAGTCAAAGTGTCCTTATTCACAGTGCTAAGTGACACAATCGAACCTGGCCAACATGGATCCCACCCTGAACCACTGGAGAAGGGTAGAGGCGCAAAAGGGGTTAGCTGCATACCTAGACAAGGAATATCGAAGCTCCTATGGGACACACGATATTCCTAGAATTGCAAAAGCCAACCTTCGCCTTTCTGTCCTGTCGCTTTTGCTGCTC